ACCATTTAGCTTTTCAAATACTTCAAAATAGTGGAAAATTAACTAGGTTGCAAGTCAGACCATTATATCTTTGAATGGCTTTCATTGAGCTGAAATATTCTTCTCTAAAACTACTGATGCCATGGAGTTAAAATGATGTTGTCATTTGAAAGACTTAAAATGATATTACATATTGTGAAGGAAGGAAACTCATCATAATGAAACAGAAATAGTAAATGGTATTTTTAAAGTTTTCAAAAAAGATTATTAAAACAACAATGTCAGGGGCTGGAGTTGTGGCTCAGCGGTAGAGCTCTCGCCTAACACACGCAAGGCCCTGGGTTCGATCCTCAATACCACATAAAGATAAGTAAATAAAATAAAGGTATTGTGTCCAACTACAACTAAAAAATAAATACTTAAAAAAATGTCAGAATGCTTTCTTTTCCGTGGGCCTGTTAACTGAGGCCTAGTGCATGGTAAGTCGACACAGACAGCATTAAAGACACAGTCACTGCGGTCAGGAGACCAAAGGGATTGTGACCTTTACAAATCCAGTTTGAAGTTCTGGCTTGCATCATGAGAACAGAGTTGTTGGGAAGGAGTTTGCATTTTCACTTTTCCCCACATGATTGGAAAATAGTTTATGGAGACAAAGACATTTGAGGACAGTTTTAAAGGGAATAAAGCACATGAAGGAAAAATGGAAATTTGGTCTACGTATACCAGAAAGTAGAAGACAGTTCTTTTCAGTCTCCTTTATTTTTAAAATTAAGAAGCAATTTATTTGTAATAATATCTGAGATGCCAAACACATAGAAGTGCTGTCAGTGTGTCTTCTCAAAGACACACAAACCTGAAAGTTGTCACATTGATCCCTTTGCAGCGTAAATGTATGTAAGATGATTCAGACATGTTCAAAACTTAGAAACATTGTAGTTTCTTATTTTGTTCTTATTTTTGCTCTTTGTGCCAGTCTTTACAGATCCAGGACTTTAGTATCTTCCCTTACACTCCTACAGGTGGGTGACTAGAAATAAATCAAGTTCTACACGGCAGCCGTTTACTTAGGTTACCTTCAGAAGTAAAGGTTGTGTGTTACATATGATATTTTAACAAACCTGGGGCACGATTTTTAAAAATAAATCTGGTATACTTGACCAGATTGCTGGGACCTGCCTAAACTGCTGAACTACAAATTGAATGCTTCCTCCTACCTTTCTGCTCCTGAAAATACTAATTTAATTTTATGTTGACATATGTTCCAGTAATACTTTGGTGTGTTTCATTGTCCATATATCCAGTGAATTTTATTTTAAAGAAAGCTTTCATTAATGGGCCCCCATGTTTTCCTATAAATCAAATTTTTTTTCTTAAAAAATATTTTTTCTTACTCTTTAGTGATTATTATCATTTGAGCATTGACTATTAAAATAAATTAGAAAAATCAAAAAGTTGACAGACCCCTGTTTTATCTTCCTGTCTTCAGGAAGGAGTGTATCTGAGCAGTGAGTAAACTTTCATTTTCATAGAAAAAGAAAACATCATCTTCATCAGCATCATGTGCTAATATAAATGTTCTTGAACTTGAAAATTATTTATTGTAAGTTAATGTTTCTAAGTCAACATCAAAATTCCCTTTTAATAAAATGTATTATTGTCAGCTTGCACAGGATGAAGGTAGTTACGTTGGCGGCTTTGCAGTGGTTGAGTATCACACTGCAGAGCATGCTGAAGAGGTTCAGCAAGCAGCAGATGGCATGACCGTCAAGGGAAGCAAAGTCCAGGTTTCCTTCTGTGCCCCAGGAGCGCCTGGACGAAGTACATTAGCAGCATTGATAGCGGCTCAACGTGTGGTAAGCAAGATTTTTTCCCCCCTCTTTTTTAGGATATAGAACATACTAATACTATCTCTTTTTTAAAATTCTTTTTAGATATTGATGGATCTTTATTTTATTCATTTATTTATATGTGGTGCTGAGAATCGAACCCAGTGCCTTGCACATGCTAGGCAAGCACTCTACCACTGAGCCACAACCCCAGCCCCCTCTAATACTACCTTAATCTATCTAGTCTACCCAAAGTAATGAGCTTTAATTGGACCATTGTTATATTTCTAATACATT